ATATACCCTCCCCCCCGCTCGACGGCAGGAAGGAGGAAAAAGTGGGCGTAGTTTGGGGGGTCGAGTAGTATCAGAATAAAATACAATAGAGAGTGGTCGAAGTGTGGAGTGGGGGTCGTATCAAATCCACCTTGGGGGAGGGGGTAGTGAAAATTTTTCAAAATCAACGACGATAGGGTTGACCCTGGCCAGAGGTGTGGATACACAACACCTTCCAGTACCTAAATGTATATCTCCTCTTCAGTTCATTGCGAATACTGTGAACTTATCCGACGGTGAACGGTCGGAATGGGTTTACGAACACCTAAAGTGGAGATCCCCAAAGGTCTCCAACGTTTTTCTTTACCCGCCACAACGGTGAACTTTTTTGCAAGACCACAGGACGTTATACGACCGCAGCACCTCGAAAAAGTCCCGGAATTTTCTACACTTTTCTTTCCGATCCTGCTTTATCGAGCTGCGGAACTTGTCTGTTTCACAAACAATAACCTCAAATCCGTGCCCCAATCCCCTCCATAATTGGAGCAAATTTTCGAGAGGTTGCGAGCAGTTCGGCACTGTTACTCAGGATCCGGTCATCCTTTTGTCCTTCTTCCAAATAATTCCATTAGCATCCATCAGGTGTTGGTACCGTTGATTCTTTCACGGTAGAAACTCGAAGAAATCGTTGAGATCTTAATCCAATTCTTCGATAACCGCTCTGTTGTGTTCCAATATGGGAACGTCTTCATCAAAGCATGGAAGACAAATGCCTTTTTACTAGCAATAAACAAATATTGAAAAGAGAACGTACGAATAAATTCACTATATTATGCTTAAAACGGAGCAAACCAACAACAGCACCACAAGTATTTCTCGCCACCTTGTACTTTCACCGCCTGAACGGGTTGGGAGCAATGAATTGCATGGAACGATAATTAGAGGAATAATGAATGTTCAAGACACTTGAAAAAAAAACTAAGTTTTTTGTGATCATATGAGAAAGTTGATCGAATGGCACCGAAGTGACACTCTTTGAATCACGTAGATTGCCTTCACTCGTTCGGAACATCCTTTAAGACACAACAAAAACAATCATGTAATGGGAGGAAGAGCGTCCCCGGAGTGAGATTGCAAGAAGTTTGCGGAATGGGAAATCTCGTTGCTTCATCTATTCTTCGGATGCTCATCAAGGAGCCCAGAACGACCGACCCGATTGACACGGCGTGTGGAATCAGTAAGGGCACTGATGATGTCCATTTTCTTAACGGCTTTCCCGTTTCACAGAAAAAAATTGCATGCTAGTGAAAACGAAAGATGGATTTCTGATTCTAACCACACGAGACAGCATGAATGCGGGATATATTTGGAATAGTTAGTTGTGCTACAACACATTGAAAAGCCCCACTCAGAAAAAGCCATTCTTTTTTATTAGTGTGCAGAATCAAAACATGTGAGTAGAAGTAGAAACAAAAACATATTTGTATTTAGTTATTTAATTTATTTACGTTTGCATGAAGCAATCGTGGAAAATACAAGATGCTTAATAAGATACTCATGGTTACAAAGTAACATTCATGCACTCTTAATTGATCTGAAACACAATAGAAAATTCATCACATTACAAAGGGAGGATCAAGAAGAAAGCCAATCTCAGGAGACTACGAAACTTCATATTTGAGTAGTTTTGCAGATATCTTCCTTTTGAACTGCCTCAATGACATATGGCTATCAATATTTTTGGTAATTTTTATATAACAGTGGCTACTAAACCTATCTGGCACAAGTTTATTGATCCATATTTCCGGAAAGAGACGCTATTATACCTCATCCGTCCCCACTAAGAAGTTAATTTTCATATACAATAAAACATGAAAATTCATTACCAAAGAAAGTGCTCGAGATGGCCTCCTTTGGTAGCGATACAGGCTTGAAGTCTCTTTTCAACTGACATCACCGTGGGCCGCAAGTAGCTGACGTCGGCGTGACGTGAGTAGATCTTCAGACCAGAAGTGGCGCACGATTTGCAAAACGACAGGCAGTTGTTGGATCTGGCTAGCAGACATTCTGCTCTCGATCCTTGTGTACACACAAGGAGCGCTTTTCAAACCATGGCACCCTTGTCTTGGTGGATTGACACACTCAAAGTCATGCGCGCCCAGTTCTGAACCCGGACATTAAATTTTCACGTAAATGCCGCTTCTTTCAAGGATCTCTTTTGACCTAAAACGCGAGCGAGACGGGCGCGAGCGATTCTTCAGCCGCCGCGCCAAGACTAGGGGCCCTCCACATGCGCACAACTC